TGCTGTTTAGTCCTATGAAACCAAGCACAGATCTTGCTGGCCCTCTGAAATGGCAAAGGTGACAGGAACTCCAGCAGCATGGCAGGTCCTGGAGGCAAACGGCAGGAGAGAGGGAATTCAGAGTGGAGCCAGAGGAAGCAAAGGGGAGGACAGTGAAGGCATGCAGGCATTTTGATGATGCTAACTAACAAATGTCATTCCATCTTTGTTTGGGAGACAGATACTGGCAGGAGAGTGGGATCTCCATACATGTAATATCAGGGTAAATAACACATAAAGAGATGTACCTCAGTTTGGTTTCGTAGGCAACCTGGGAAAATATTTCCTCTGAACAGCTATTTTCCTTCCCCCTTCTGGGTGGTGGAAGGACTCAGAAGTACTCTAGGTGAGCTGCAAACACTGGCCGAAGTAAAGGATCAATAACAACCAACTACACATACTCCACAGACTTACAGGGATTAAAATGGTCATTTAATCCCAAAATACAGACTTTAAAAGTTCCAGTGAGGAATACAGTTGTCTTACTCATGAGAAACATTTGAAAACTGGGTCTACAAAGGAACTCAGAACAAAATTTCTTTGTGGGAGATCCAGGAGATCTGAAGAGTTCAAGCTGAGGTGTGAGCTCTTCAACCTGGCTGAGCTCCAGAGCTCCCAGTAAATTTAAATCCTGATGATCCACCACAGAAACGCCCCCATAGATATTTTTTTTTTACATTTCTAGTGTTCTCTGACAAGCTAAAATAAAGCCTGTGGGTATTTCTCTCTCCATTACAAAGCTACTTCATGTCTTTGCTCTAAAAGATTTCCAATGTAAATTCAGCTTTGTTAACAGCTGTAAATGACCCAAACCACCAATCCCAAGACGAGAGATGAACTGCATTTCACCTGCTGCCCAGGTGACCTCCCACAGCAGTTAATGTGCTGACCTGCCACGTGAGGCATGAGGTGTTTAAATCAGATTATACAGGCTTGGGCAGGGCAGACACTCCTGGGCCTCTAATCACAAAACCTGGACTGGTGGAAAGCAAACAATTCTACAGTGGCTGATGGAGTCTGGCTAGTTCATGTGTGAATTTGTTGGCCAAGAAAGCAAGGGACTTGGAAGTGGCAGAGAGCACCAGCAGCAGCCATGCAGATTCCCCAGGTTAGTCCTGGCCTTTCTGCACCCCAAATAATGACAGCAGACATTTCCAGAGGATTCCCTTGGCATCCCACTGCCTGCTTTCTAAAGTACATGCAGAGTTATTTATGTAACTGCAAGTTTACTTGGATGTTCCCACCCTGCACAGGGGATATGTGCTCCTGCAGTGAAAATCCACTGTTGGTTAATGCCTCACAGGGCATTAGTGCATGCTCACATGGTCCCCAGAGCCCATAGGTCCCTCTCAGCCTGCACCCACATCCATGCAGTGTCTTCTGGCTGGGGAAAGGTCTGGTGAGAGCTGAATTTTATCCCTCCTTGTGAAGCCCCTATAAGATGTGTTCCTTTTCAACAGACCCACTCTCAGTTTCTTGATGGCTTCTCTTGGGGAAAGCACTGCAGAGGGAGTCCCCTGTTTTTTCAAAGATCACGTTTCCTACGTGGTTGCCCCTTCTTCACACATCAGAAGTTGAATCATGCAACACAAAAGTCATGTGGTGAGTAAACTACCTTTCTATCTAAGGAAACTGGGGACAGCCCTGAGGGGAAGGAAGGGGTAATGTAAGTGATGCAACAAGAATGGTGCTGTGAGTATGGCAAGTGGAGGCTTCCTTCCAGGAAGATTTAAAAGCAGTTTACCAAAAATGATAATAAAATAGTGCAAACTGTGGCATAGAGAGAGACACAACTTCATCTCAGGTCCCCAAGCAAGGCAATAGTTAAAGCAATAGCTCCAGAGTCCATTGTCCTGTCTGGTAGGGCACAACTACGCAAAATGAGAAGCTTTCTCAGCAGCACATGGGAAGAGCTGTGAGCACGAATGGGCAGCATTTGCTTCCCGTCACTCCTGGACTTTCCAGGGGCAGCAAAACTAAGGAAAGAAGTGGCAAAGAGAAACTGAAAAGGCAAAACAGAGAAAGACCTTACGCAGCCTGCTTTCGAGATGGGGCCTGGCTGCTGGGGTGAGAGGATGCAGCTGGGCTGGCACCAGACCAGGACTCAGCTATTTGGCTTCCACTGCTGAGCTGGATGATGCCGAGTCCACTTCAGTGTCCTCTCTAGGGAACACCCCCATCCTCAGTGCAGGAACAGCCCTTCCTGCTCTGCAGCACACTGAGAGCCATGCCTCTGTGCCAGGAGGTTGGGAATGCTGTACCTAGGAGGTGTTGAAGGGCTTGCCAGCTGCTGGGAATGTGAAGGGGAGAGAAAGCCAGGGACTACCCAAGACTTGGGCAGCTGGATATGTGGAATGAGAGTACTAGAGAATGAAGTGACTCATCCATCCATCCATCCATCCATCCATCCATCCATCCATCCTTTCTTGCAGCCCAGGTTTTAGGTGCAGCTCACTGCTGGCCTGGAAGGCAAGGACTCACCCACCGTGCCACCCTTGCTCAGGCCTGCCTCTTGCTTATCCTCACAGCTGCACAGCTCTGAATTTTTAAATCTGCTTCTGCCACTTCCAGCATTTTTCATTTGGGTTGGGTTCTACTGGTAGGTGTCCATTAGCTTCTCAAAAAGTAGGCAACTGACGTTATTTCTATGTTTTGTTCTTGGCTTCCTTGTTTTTAACTCTCTCCTTCAACAAGAGGTTGCTATTCTCCCTTAGCAAGAACATTAAACTTTTTGAAGGAAAGCACAAGGGCTGCTACCAGTTCCACTTCGCAGGCAAGAAGCACAAAAGGAGAAACATAGGTAGGATTTTCATTCACTGAAAACTATTTAACTCCAAGAAGAACTGCACAAAGTCAGGAGTCCTCTGCATTTCTGAGGGTGAGATGAGAGCTGTGTCAAGCCAGCAAAGATCACTTAGTTTTAAAACTTGGACTAGAGCTCAGAAATGGCAGGATTCCACAGAAGTACGAAGACCACCAGGCTGTGCTTCTTGGATGACTTTCACATCACATCTTGCTCTCCTGTGATAAATGCTATTATTTTTTGTAAGGCCATATGAAATAACTCCTGTGGAATTTATCTCCTTGTGGGGCCATCCCCTGTACCAGGTGTGACCACGGATACTCCTCACTGATTTTGATGCTGGGCTTTGCAGTCGAGGCAAAGTGACATTTCCTTGTGTTACTCTCATCTCACAGTCACTTCTGCACTTTTCTAATTTCAGTTCATTGTTAGGAAAAAAAAAAAAAAAAGCAGCATAAAAACTTTAAGGGGAAAAGTCATCTGATATCAAAGTGAGGGAGATGTAAGGAGACACAAATGTTTATTGTAATCTTTGCGTTTGTAATTGTGTGTATGTGCTTTCCTCACTTTAGTCTATAAATAGCCATGTCAGGAAAGCACAGCAGGGACATAGATGCTTGCAGCTGAGCTCCACCAGCTCTGCCTGTGTGCTGGCTGCTCAGTCAGATGTGGTTTATCTCTGTCCTTATGCCTGCAGAACATAACCAGCGTGTCAGTGAGCAGGTACGTGAGACCACAGACTTGCTGATCTGACCACCAGGTTGTACTTAGGACTTCTCCGAGCACCCTTGAAAGGTTACAGTATCTTTTTGCCTTTCATCTTCAGGACCATAACTTCGGTCAGTGTTCTGTGTAGGCAGCAGTTTTATCACAGAATCATTCCGGTTGGAAAAGACCTTTCAGATCATCAAGTCCAACCATTAACCCAACCCCACCCAGTGCAGAGCTGCCCCACGTCCCTCAGCACCACATCTGCTCTGCTGGTGTCACTGACACCGAGTTACTTTCTTGCACAAATGAGAAACAGCACAATGGTGCTCAGGGGTGGGATCTGAATCCTTGCGGGTCTGTTTGCTCCGCTCACGTGAAGGGCTGCCAAGTTTTAGGAAAAAAAATTGCTATTAAGCACCTTGGAGATAACCTCGCAACGGATAAGAAGTTCCACCCGGGTTTGTGTCACGCTCCTGCTCGCGGCCCCAGTGCCTGCCCCGCACCCGGGCAGTGCGGGACAGCTCCGCTCCGAGCAGCCAGCACGTACCAAGCTGCTC